AGAGTTCACCAATCTTGGACTTTTTGAACGCAGCGAACTTTTTCGCATGAGCTTGTTTTCGTTCTATTGAATTGAAATCAACAGAACGAAAGTTGTAGTGTGACTTCACCTTATAGCAGAGCAAAATATAATTTTAGAGATTTTAAAATGCTTTTATTCTATGCAATTGATACTTAATCCATTATTATTTTTTTTTAAAGCTGTATGTAAAAAATTGAAAATTGTATACTATGTCTTATGCTCAGGTTTCATTCCATTGTAAACAAACAGAGAAAAAAAATGCCTTACATGGGATAACATTAGCAAAAAGAACGAAATTAGATAAAACGCTAGATAGCAGAAAATTACCTTTCAACATAGAAGTTGGGTCAATGCACAAAAGCAGTATATCTCAGGCGAAGTGGATACAAGATACAAGTAGACTAAACTGTGTATGCGTAAAACTTATATTCTCTTCAGTGAGCTCATAATGGTAAAACATGAAATACTGACGCAGGTTACAGCCCACATTGGCACTGTAGGCCAATCGGAATGCTGTAATTACCATATGCAAATACACCAGGGATGACAGCCAATCATTTTCTAATGCGTACGCTAAACCGCGCCACTTTAGTGAATGGCTGTTCTCGGCAAGTGCAGTCCTCCCTTTACTGTCACGCTCTTTACAGAATAGGAATTGATGTGAAAACAGAAACTTAACGAAACACTGGAATATTATTCAATTAAGTTTGATAATTAGATAAAAGTCGTTCATAATAATCTACGAAGCATTGATTACTATCTTAAAAGACAAAGGAATCTCTGGTCCATCACTGACCTTATGTCGAAGTCTTTCACGCTGATACACTCTGGTCGGGGTGGGGTTGTGAAACTCAGGGCACAGCCACCAGGCAAGCACGCCTTTTCTGAGAAAGCGAGACCTAAACTCAGCACAGGAATGAAACTGAGAAACGAAACTTGGATTTACGTCAATTCCCTATTATTTTACTACACGCCACTGGATGTTTTAAGGAGACCCCTTGGCTTTCAATATGTGCGTTGAGGCACAAACGGATAGAAACATAATGCGATGCTTGTTTTACTTTTATTAAAAATGATCTCATTATGAGATATAATGTGTCATTCTTGTTGTTACTGTGTATATGTTGAAAAACCTTTAATAAATGAATGCTTGTTGTAAGAAATGGTTCTATAAAGGGTATACCAGATTTAGATTTAGAGTGAAACAAACCAACAAACCATGCAAACATCTGTCACAAAATCCTTTGCAAAACTTGCTGCTGTTTATGCTGTTGTTTACCTGCCAAAATGATGTCGCTTCCTGGATGATGTCATTAAGGAACTGGGGCAGGTTGCAACCACTGATCTGTAATATTTCTATATATAGATCAGTGGTTGCAACAAATCCCTTAAGCTAAAAAAAAAAACAACCTTAGTTACAATTGTAATTACTCTCTCTGTTTAAATCTAGATTAAAGACACATCTCTTTGGCCAAGCATTCAAATAATGCATAGCATAATCTTGTACTGCAGTTATATCTGATCAAATGCACATTATTATTCTTTAGTTTGGGTTAAACAAATACATTTTGCTTGGTTGGAACAGCAGCTACGCTAATTATGTCTATTTGTTTCTCTGTTTTTGCCTAGGATTTACACAAGCTTCAGTCTGGATCCAGAACACCTGAGAAGAGATGATGCCAACCCCTCAGAGGACCTCAGATGATGCCAACCCTGAAACAACATACAGAACTACCACATTTTGCTATAAGTTTGATTGCATCATATAATAATTGCTGTTAATAGTGTTCATCATCTGTTTGATTACGTCTTTAATTGATTTTTCCGTACATTTCTGCCATATGTACATTGACTGACAGTCACCACTGATAAGCTACCACTAAATATTGTAGAAACGTAATTTACTGTAAAGTTGCTTTGCAATGATTTGTATCGTGAAAAGCGCTGTACAAATAAACTTGAATTGAATTGAATACTGCACCCAAACACCACAATAGCACACTCAAATCAGCAAATGTGGACCCCTCAGTTTCACAATTCCTTCAAACTGCTCTTTTGGCTATGGGCCATGTTACCCATGAACTGGGTACTCTTACAGCCACGCTTCTGGCAGCTCGCCGGCAAGTGTGGCTTGCCCAGGCGAAACTTCCGGAGGATTGTAAAAAGACACTAAGAGACCTCCCAATTGTTCCTGGTCACCTGCTTGGACCTTATGTCCCAGAGCTTCTGGAAAAAAAGGTTAAAATTGTCTGAGGCCACTCATCAGTTGACTCAGGCTCAGCGCAATCCTGTTTTTAAGGTACTGGGCATTCAGACTCGTCATCGTTTTGCGAGACCAGAGCAACGATTCCGTCAGCATTCTACACCACAACCTCAGGGGTTACAGAGGCCCCGTGCTAATAAGGACACTCAAGGTTTTCAACCTCATCAGCGGCAGTTGCCAGGTGGTCCACGTCAGTCACACCCACAAAGCTTGAAGTCATTGGGCCGGTGGTCGATCATTTTTCGAGTCTACACCTGCAGTACTGGAGGGAGATGGCTATAGATCCATGGGTTTGGACTACATTGAGCAAGGGGTGTACTCTGCAGTTTCGACGCCGGCCCCCAAAGCTTTCAAGGATTATTCCTACAGTGATAAGGGATGCAGTTCGTTCAGAAACCCTCTCTCAAGAAATTTGTTCGCTGCTATAGAAGGGAGCCATAGAAAAGGTTCATCCCTGCATTCAAAGGGACGGTTTATATTCAACTTACTTCCTCGTTTCAAAGAATGATAGTGTTTTTTGTCCAGTTCTAGATTTGAGACATCTAAACGTGTTCCTGAAAACTCTTCCCTTTCGGGTGTTGCGTGCAGCCGATGTTCTTTGGTCAGTCACAAAGGAAGATTGGTTCACAAGCATAGATTTGAAAGATGCTTACTTTCATGTTCATGTTCATGTCTTTGGCCCCTTGTGTCTTCACGAGGTGCATGACTGCAGCTCTACATCCGTTGTGGTCCAGAGGGATGTGAATCCTGCCTTACTTAGACGACTGGCTGCTGTGTGCACCAACAAAACAACAAGCTGCCCGTGACACCAGACTGCTTTTGGAGCATGTGCAGATGCTAGGTCTTGCAGTAAACGAGGCAAAGAGTTGTCTGAATCCAGTGCAAATGATTACTTATATTTGAATGACACTGGATTCCCGTGTAGTCTGCCGCCCTCTCACATGCCCAAGTGGACAGTATTCTGCTGCTCCTTGCCTGTTTTCAGCTGGGTGTAAGTTTGCCATACAAGATATTTTTACAACTCTTGGGCATGCTGACTGCCGCCACTTCTGTAATTCCAGTCGGCTTGCTTCACCTCAGGCCTCTCCAGTGGTGGAATAACAGTTTGCAGTTGAACCCTGCTAGACATCTCCATCGGCTGGTTGTTGTCTCGTGCAGTTGTATTCAGGCATTGACACCGTGGAATCATCGAGAGTTTCTGAAGTCAGGTGTTCCCCTAGGGGTCATTCCTTCTCATCGGGAGGTGGTCACGACCGATGCTTCCCTTTTCGGATGGGGGGCATCATGGAATCACAGGGGTGTTTGTGGCCACTTGTCTCCAGCTCGGTCCAGGGACCACATCAATCTCCAGGAATTGTGTGCAATTTTCCTAGCCCTGCAGCATTTCTTACCAGTTCTGGCAGGCCATCATGTCCTCATTTGGTCTGACACCTCGACAGTGTTCCACCTAAACCATCAAGGTGGAACAAAGTCCCTCAGGTCCCTGCATCTCACCCACAAGATACTCACTTGGTCTCTTCCTCAACTAGCATCAATGAGGGCAGTTTACCACCCGAGATCAAGCAATCAGATAGTGGATGCTCTGTCAAGGGATCTTCTGCACTCAGGGGAATGGAGGCTTCACCAGGATGTGGTGCAGAGGATATGGAAGCAGTTCGGTGAAGCAGAGGTGGATCTTTTTGCAACAGAGGCAAACACTCACTGTCGCTTGTGGTTTGCAAGAACAGAGACATCCATACATATATATATATATATATATATATATATATATACTGTATATATATATATATATTTGTTTATACACGTTTTCAACTAAAATAAAACCTTTAGATATAATGTAACGTTGTTGTAGAATGTAGTGTATAATGCCTAATCATAAGCTTGTTCAGAAATGGTTATTAAAAATAACGTCTTTCTCATTAAACGTCATTTAAATAAACGAATATTCAAATATTATTTTTTTTTATGAGCAAATATTCGAATAGAATATTTTTGAAAAATGCCCATCCCTACTTCAATGCCGTTCCAAACCTGTATTGAGTTTCTTTCTTACGTTGAGCACAAAATTTTGAATACCGTGATTAACCAGTTGACGGTAGCCATTGACTCCCATAGTAATTTTTTCCATACTATGGATGTTAATGGCTACCGTCAAACTATTTGGTTCAAAATATCCCCTTTTGTGTTCAACAGAAGAAAAAAACTCATGCAGGTTTGGAACAACACGAGGTTGAGCTAATTTTCATTTTTGGGTGAACTATCACTTTAATTATTATATTAAAATAAAAACTCAAATGATTTCTACTTTTTAAATTGTGAATTTAATATTTTATCCAGTATATTAAGATATTGACAGGGACATGAAAATGTATTGCATAGTATTGTCTAGATTGTTACAGAAACGAAACTCAATTCAACTTACCAACTTATTATCACCTTATGATTCATAGCTCTGTCAACAGTTTTGTTTGATGACATTTTGATAGACATCAGTATTTTTTTACACACACCAGCATGCCAAACCAAAGGGAATGAAGCAGATGTCAAATTGTTAGCACACCTAGCTGCAGAAATGCAAAAGACTTACTGTCATATTTTGCACGTCATATTTGCAACTCAAAAACATGGTGAAGTGTAAAAGTGTTTTCAGACAGGTGTCTAAAAAATGGAGGTTTAATTTACATAAATCATATTGCAGGCACATAGTGCATCTAGTCACAGACTTTAATGGAAGTTTTCTGTTTATAAAGGTTAATATCTACATACTATAAAGGAAATCATGATTAGATTACTTCTAGCTCTAAATTACTGGATTCTACAGTGCAAACACCTCACATATGCTGACAGGAAGAATGTGGGTGAAAACCTTTCCCATGTTACATGTAACATACTGGCTGCCGCCCACTCAACAACATTTCCATCCTCATTATGTGAACAACCACAATTCCTACTCAGTGTGCCAGGATATTGCATTGTATTTTAAGAGTGCACATTACTATTATATTACTACTACTACTACTACTAATAATAATAATAATACCATAGATAAACAATTAAATTCTTTATTTAAAAAATAATACTATGCTTGTCATAATATATACATAAAGAGTAAAATGGTTATAAAATTAAGGCAGATTAAGGTTTGGGCAAATCCGAATTTTACAGGTGATGAGATGAGACCAGTCATATATTGTAAATAAGAAATAAATTGCTGCAATTTAGAATTATGACATTAATAATACATCTGATACATCTTCATACTGACAGTATTTTTGAATATACACTCTCTGTCAGCAAATGAAAATAGAGACATGATGCAGCCAGAAAAGTGAAGAACAACAAAGAAGCTAAAATAAAGAGATCCCATCTATAATCTTGGATCCAAACAAAATGTGGCTGTTGCCCTTTCTAGGGTGAACTCATCTGCAATGTAAACAAGAAAAAAGTGTCATGTCATTTTCTGGTCACAGTATAATGCTTAAATAAGCTCTGCTTATCAGTGACAGCACCAAATTACCCACAAATATGATTCTGAGCAACAAAGTCAGTAATATATACAGCTGGGTTTAAAAGTCTGAGACCATGTTGAATTTAAATATACAAAATGTTAGGGTTATGAGAATGAATAATGCACATGGTTGTAAGTCACTAACTAAGTGTGACATTGACCATGATAACTCAAGTCAGACGTTCTTGCTTTTAATGAAGTATAATATGCTCTTTGGATTATTCTCAAATCACGATCATCACATGACAGCATCTTTAAAATATGTTAAAGGGGTCATATGATGCGATTTCAATTTTTCCTTTCTCTTTGGAGTGTTACAAGCTCTTGGTGCATAAAGAAGATCTGTAAAGTTGCAAAGA